CTTTTCTGCCTTTTTAACCTCTTTTTAAAGACTAAGTGAAGCGATGCATTGCCTGTGCCTTGGAATCACCCCAGGTAGCCCTGGGGTTGGTGGGAAAGCYGACAGCTCCGAGGAGCCGCTGGGAGCCTGAGCCCAGGTCCCTCCGTGGCCACACGCGCCCGCGTGTCCCTCGCACAGYGCCCAAGGGAGCTGCTGCCTTTCAGCCATCAGCTCTGGGGCCTGAGCAGGCCCTTGGGCTGCTGCTTTATGAGATTCCTGGCAACAATGTACTTGTTAGGTTTTTTTTCTGTCCTTTAAGTCTTTTCTCCTTTGAGAAGAAAAAAGTCCTGTTATCTTTCATTAATTTCCATTTTTCTACAAAACTGAAGTTATCTGTGATTAATATTCACACCAAATACACACGTATCTCTATCCTGAAAAGCAGGGTCTCTGTAGGGCCAACAATTACCAGGTTTGCATGCGCGTTTGTTTTCTTATTATTGCTGTATGTCTAAAACAGAAGCAAAGAAAGTACAGAAAGAAACCAAAATGAAAACACAGAGGCAAAGAAACTCTGGTAGAACAGCAATAGAAGTGGAGAACTGCGGCTGAGAACTTTCTAGAAGGGATGTTCAAGCCAAGCAAAGATGCTGTCTCCTGTCACCCAATTCTGATTGCTAGGCAGAGTCAGAGCAAAGACCAGTATTAGAGAATGGGAAAGAAAGAAAAGAACAACTGTAGATTGAAGAGGGGGAAAAAAAAAAAAAAAGGATATTCAACTGCAACAATGTGCACATTTAGGGAAGAAGGTGATAGCAGTGATTGCAGCTATAGAGGAAGCCTGGAAATAAATGGAGTGCCTGTTAAGGGCCTGGCAATGCTGCTCTTGCCTGCTAAGGAGTGTGCATCTTAAGGGGCAATGGAAATTCCTCACCCTCAGTCCCACCCTCAGTAGAGAGAGTACAGCTGGTTCTAGACATGGTGAAGAAGTTCAGTGGGGGGGAAAAAAAAAGGTAATTTGTGCAAGGGAAATTTGCAGATAGATTGGCAATAACTGTGAACCATTAGAAAAACTGTGTTCATGTGTGAGGTATCCTGCAACTATCACACATTGGTTAAAATATATATAAAGAATTATGGTTTTCACTCCTCTTTCCCTGCCCCAGTCCTAATCCTATAAAGCTGCAACAAATAGCTGTACCATGTAGCTCTCTTCTCATTATATGTATATCTGTTAAATGGAGTCTTTAGATTTGCAGATCTTTCTGATGAACCCATTTTATTATTTTGTCTGGCCTGAGTTCAGAGTAGTACAACTCTAAACTCTCTGCATGCTGCTGAAAAGTAGGTGTGTGGTGATGACTTAAAAAAAAAAAAAAAAAAAAAGAAAAGAAAAATTAAGCTGGTGGGATTTTCAAATCTCAGCTAGAAATGAGCAGGAAATTCAGAGGTTCCAGGTAGGTAACAAGTGTTTTATCTTGATGGTGGTTGTTTCTCCTTTTCTTTCCAGTTAATTGAAATTAGTTTCAAGCAAAAGCAACTGGCTTCATTTTCATATAAAATATTGCTAATGTCAATGGCCCAAGCATTGCTTGAAACAGGATGTTGAAATTGGAAAGAAGACCAAAAAGAACTAGTTACACTTTTTATGTTGAAACTGAGATAAATGAATAACAAAATAGGGTATAATGCAATAATAGAAGAGCAAGAGCATTGCTGTTAAATCAGTAATGTCACTGTGGTAGTTACAGTACTCTCCTTTGTATTGATATTAGACATACTAATAACTCCCTGGAACATGTTGCCCTAGGTTCTCTCTCTAAATGTTACCTTAGGCAATGTGTGTAGAAATGCTGTACCTCATGAGAGCCATTTCTTTTATCAAGTTAAAATGAAACATCTTATTGTGGTAGTAAAAACAGGAATTGAGTTAGAGCACTTCTTTTGGTTCAAATGAGAGGAATTGCTTAAATAGCACCCTTGAACTATTAGGCTGCAAAGGTTTACTTTGAACCTCTACAGTGGAAGTAAAAGAGCTGTTATTCTTGCTCTCTCTAAAGTTTTAAATACTTCCTTTCACACATAAAGACTTTGAGATTCCTTATTGTCATTAGGACTGTAACCTTGTCATATTTCAAATATACAGTCAATATAGAAGCCCTCCTTTCAGGTGGTTTATGGCTGTGACTTTCCAGATGCAGCTGTGATTTAACAGGTCAGCTGTTGCACAGATGCCTCATGAAAGACGAGTGGCACCGATGGGGTTGAAGGTTAAATGTCTTTGAAGTCCCAAAGAGCAGTAACTGTAGTCAAATAAAATGCGCCTTGTGAGACCTGGCTCTCCTTTCTGTGCCGTTGTATGAGAAGTTGGACTGTTTTACAAGGAGTGCTACAGCATGAAACTRTTAAGACCTTGTCTTGCAAAAAAGTTCTGGCCTTCTGTTCTTGAGTCCTTGTATTTATGAGAGGCCCCAGCTGGTACCCCTCAATATGGCACAGTAGATGGACTGCTCTATCTGCTACCCGCATCTGGAGATACCTATTTCTTTGTAAAAGGAGTGGGGGAACTAGGAGGGAAAAACTAGGGGGGAAAAAAATCCTATAAATGTAAACCAAGTCTTTTAGCATGTAATCAATTGGGAATGGGACAAACCTGTTAAACTAAATGAATATTTTGAAGTGAGTGAGCCTAGAAGAAAGCATTTGGCCCCATACTAGAAGTATTTATATTGTTTTTGGAAACTCACTTCCTAGGACAAATTAATTAACAAGCTTATTTTGCTTACCTTTTTCTTAATGAAAGCAAATTTTTACTGCACATGAGATTGTCTCCATCCAGTAGGCATTTTTACTTTGTTTTTGTTTTGTTTTTCAAAAAACATAATGAGARTAAGCAGTTTGTTTCTTTTGGCAAGTTATAAAATATGAGGACAGATAGGCATCTGGTAAAGCTGTCATTGCTCCAGAGAATTCTTTGGAGCTGTAATAGTCTCTGGGCTTGTCACATCACTTCCTTCCATCAGTAGTTAGGATATTTTTGTAGGGATCAATTAGTACACATACAATATGTGTGATTTGGCCTAGGCCCAAAATGAAATTCTGCCTGAGTTTTTCTGTAGATTTGAAGAGGTTGCCCTAGAGTTGGCTTCCAGTGTCTCTGAAGTTTATTTCTTTGACGGTCAGAATTGTAGGTTACTGCTGTTATGAATAAATGGAAAATGATAAATAAAGCGYTTATTCTTATTTTCCTTTTTTTAAGGAGAAGAAAAAAAAATATATCAATACCACGTCACACCAATTGCTGCTTTTAAAGTAAAGAGTGTCCTTTCAGTTGTCCATCTGGAAAACATTCATTTTGCATCACTGAGAATATAATTATTCTACCAACCGGCTCCACTTTATATATAATCAAACAGCAAAGGCAGCTCTAACAAAATGAAATGCTTGAAAAAAAAACTAATAAAATAAGGAGAGACTCGACTACCACTCCCATATGTGTAAAATTCAGAAGCATGTTCACACAGGTATGCTTCCAGACTGCAGTGTATAAGGCCTTCTACATGGGTGACCCTTAGCGTACTTAGAGGTGATAAAGTCAGCAGTTTCAATACAGATCTGGATTTTTAATTTGTAGTAGTTTTAAAAAAATATATATATTATTGGAATAACTTCTTTTTTGTCCATCTTTAATTCTATCCTTTGTTTTTAAAAGTGAATGTGATTGTTAACATTTGATGACATGAATAGTGTGAAATACGCAAATATGCAGCTCATTCCAGGGAAAATTGCAGTGGTTTCAAGTGCCTTGCGGATGGTGCAAGGCTAGATTCCAAGCATCTGCCTTAAGATATTGCCTTAGAAAAAGGCCTAACCGTATTCCATGGCTGTGGCTAAGCCTCAGAATACACTGATAGTTTGTTTGCAAATGTGTTTATTCCTAATTACTGCTAAGTGAAAACATGTTCACAAATATCTCAAATCACTGCCTCATACCCAGATAAAGTCAGCAATGGACCATGCCAAAGCAGACTGTGGTCATTCATTCAACCCAGTRAGGTCTTGCCTGGTTTCCTAAATCAAAATATGAGTGGAATCACAGTCAGGACAGGTGTTTTATCTGTCATTTTGATATGTATAGAGAGGCTTACAGCTTCAGATCTGTGCAGTGTTTCTTTGAAAATCACAGCAGGGTATGTTTGTCCCCTCTATGGATTTTCCATCGGCAAACTTCTCATCTGCAAACAGATGCTGTTCTGGCATGGGAAGAGTCTGAATTCAGTTGCCATCTGCTGTCTCACTGTCCAAGCAGCTCCAGTTCTGGTGCCTCTTTCATTGGATGTCTGTGCAACCTCGGGCAGAAAAACATTGAGAAATTATTTTCTTTATCCAGAAAGTCTGTAATAATTTCTAGTTTACTCTCCTGGAAAATAAAGAGTAGGTGGTGAGCCACCCGTTGCTATCAAAGGCAAGAAAAAAATGGRACTGTGCAGGACTTGAAATACAGCATGAGTGTTAAGGTATAACAAGCCTGAGAGGAAGGAAAAAGTGAGAGTATTTGGGGGGAAAAGAGGAAAACTTTGTGATAAAGTTTTGCCATGAGTCMCTAAGTGCTGTCCACGCTGTATGGAGAAATGTCTTACAAAGTATGAGATAGGAAAGCAGTGGAAAAAGCACCAAGATTAACTTTGGCACCAGAGCCCAGCGATGAGGGCGTTGCATCTCTGTGGCAGTAAGACAGAGCATCTCTTGATGTAGGTTCTGTAGATATGGTTTAAACCTATAGAGGAGATTAAATAACCTTTTGAATATGTTAATCCARGTTTGAAAGATGTTTCCTTCGCTTGTGCATTTACACTCTGCTTAAGGGCCGACAGGTTTAGCCCTTTGTGGGAACATCTCATGTAATGTGCTCTCTTTTGTACAGTGCTTGGAATTTTTCCCAGTGATTTGAAGTTTTCTGGTCACTGCAGCGGGAGGACAGGGCTCACCGCAGGGAGCAATCCGCAGCCCTGCTGGAAGTCATTGCCTGCATCACGGATGAACTGAAATCCTGCAAACAGGAGCAAGCTGCTCGACAGGAGACTGTCTAGCCTCAATCAGGGTAAGAAAAAGGTCTGAGCTTAAAATGTTATGAGAAGGATTRCCCTTGATTATTTGGGGTGTGTGTATGTGTGTGTTTGACATGAAACTGCTGGCATTTTTATCACTGGAAACCAGCTGTGCAACCATGCAGAGCAATGCCAACATCCTCTGCATTCTCCTTTTCATTTTTTATCATGTTTAAAAATAAGCCTCACAATTGTCTGTGCTATTCCGTGGTATACRTAAAGCAAGAACCCCTTTGAGAAGGTACCTCGAAAATGCTGTGTAGTCAGTAATGCATAGAACACTATTAAGCTAGTTTTGAAATGAAGTTATTTAAGAAAAATGCTAAATTAGGTCCTACTAAAAGCAGAACAGTACAATATTTGCTGTTACATGTACTGTATTTGTTCTTGGGAATGGAGGACTTTTGACAGAACCTAATCAAACAGTGAAAAATAACAGTTTCATGATTGGTTTTAGGAAAATAAAATAGACAAAAGTGGAAACATTCTGCCTGAATGTAAAAAGAAAAAAAAAAAAAAAAAAGATGCTGTTGCTCTGAATTATGAAATGCAGCTAAACTGCAATTAATCAGATCTTATTTGCTTCACAAACAGGCACTAATATTTCTTGAGGAGATTTCCTGTGTTTACAGTAATTAATAGTAGATGTCATTGACATATATGAGAGACTAATAAGTGATATTTGATCCTTGATATTGTTGATCTAATGTACAGCCTAGCTGATTTTTGAGGTTCTTATAACTCTAATTCATTATGATTTGCTGATTGTAGAAACAATTGAACAAATTACTTCCTCCACAGATCCAGAAATGAAAGCTTTGAGAGCAAATTAGTGAAGAAGCAGCTCAAACATAAGAGGAAGAATATGGATAAAAAGAGAGAAAGCAATCAGAAAAAAAACAGTGGAATTTTGTACAGGCCTGAAAATGTGGGGGAAATTGGGGAAATCTAGGGGAGCTACATATCTGATATCCAGTAATAGATGATGTGAGCACTCTGAAGGTGACTTGCATGCCTAAACTTTAACCACCTACCAGATCCTTCTCTTTTTTAGGTCTGGAAATTATTATATATATATTGTATTAACTAAACAAAGCCCCAAACCTTCTGTCTGTCTTTAGTTTAAGAACTGCCATGAAAAAAATACTACTTGTTTTAGCCTAATGTTTACAATTCTGAGACAGAGGAGAAATGGAAAGGACCATTCTGTAGATTTAAAATCTGTCAAACTAGTAGAGATCTTCCTCCCAAGGTTAAAAAATCAGTTAAAAGCTGGTATGCTATTAGCTCTACAGGTATTTGAGTAAAATGTGCCTCTCTAGACGTGAAAGTTATAAATGGAAAAATCTGATAGCCTTGTACAACCTGTGAAAGGGTTCAACTGAAATTTGAGTAAAAATTGTATCAATTCTTGTTTTATCATGTTCTATCTACTGAAAAAAAYTTACGTTATTTAGAAATCTTGAGGATATCTTTTTTTTTTAATCTTACATAATGCAAGAATTCAAAATACCATGCAGATTATTGAGACGGTGTCCACACTGCAAGTACCGAGAGTTTTGTCCCTTCATTTTCCTGAACATAAAAAGTGTGCTCAGCTTTTGCAGGACATGGTTGTTCCTGTGCTGTCTAATTGTTTAAATGTGAAATGTGAGTGTATCATTAGATGTGAGTGTGGATTATAGAAAAGCAATGTTCCAAAATGGGCACAAAGGCTTGATGACTGTTTTCTCTGTATAAGAAAGAGAAACTTTTCTTTTTAAAATATTATAATCCTAAACAGAAGGAAGAAACAAATCTGGGAACAGCCATATACATGACACAATTTCCACAAAGACTGGAGAGTGTCCAGAAAGAAATATTGAGTAGCTTTTAGTGTTAAATTAGAATCCATTTCCCTTATGGGAGGGGGCTAATTTGCAAACAGAAATGTGTTTTATTTTTGTTTGTTTGTTTGAAAGCAAGGAGTTATACCTAGTTGGTTTGGCGTAGTTGATTTACTAAATCTCTACATTGCCAAGCCTCAAGATACCACTGCTATGAAATGAAAACAAACATAATGAAGATCAAGGATAGTGGATATACATATATATATGTGTATATATATATACACACACACACACACACACACATATTATATATATGTATTTAATAGCTAACTGTATAGGTAGTAGCATAATAAAACTGATGGTAATTATAGTAAGTTTCTTGCAAGTATATTCTGTAAATTATTTCATATGGATCAAGAACACATCATATTAGAGTTGGGTAGAAGTGTTTTTAGGAAGACTTTAAGTGGAATGAGAATACTATGAATCTTTACACTGCTAAATACAAAGGATAAGAACACAGAAGGATAGGTTTGGGAACTGGCTAGCTTATTGATCCATAAAAGAAAGAATAAAAGATTTTCAGTCTAAATGAGAAATAACATGACAGTTCACTTCATGATCTGTTGCATTCATACAGAGGGAGAGCTAGTGTTACACCTGGATATGTGCTCAGCACAGAAATGAATTGTAGGCATTTGTCCTACTGTCCAGTCAGAGTACAGTAGGTATTTTGGCATGTTACGGAATGGAAATGACCGGATATATGTTTGGCCATACACTGGGGCCATTCAAGCACTATCCCAGTGAATCAAACACATTGCGAGACGTTGCAGTCATGTGGAATCACACATGCCTGTCCTGTTGTGTTGGAGCCTGCAGGGACTAGGCACATGGGGACCAGATCCAGCCACTAGCTTACCAAGAAGCCAATTCTCTCCTGGCCTATAGCCTATCAGTCTTGACCTAGTACAGTTTTGAACAAAATATGATAAAATAAAGAGAATTTGCTGCATCTTCAGATAAGTTATTCAACTGCTTATCTGCATTCAGTTTATATACATATACTTTTTTTATTCATTTCTTCAGCATGCACCTTCCATTGATCACTAGGTTTCATGTAACTAGTGTACTCTTATTCAGAGCTTGTTGGTCAATTCTGTATTTTTTTCATTAAGTATAGCAGAAACGTCTTTTAAAGATACTGCTAGAGGTGCAGGAAGGCACAAAGTACAATGAAAGGCAAATGTACACATACCCTTGTTCAAAGCAGCTGCTTACAAAGATTTAAATTTGAGTTTCTCTTTTTACAAGCAGTTAGAATGGTTTGTATCATGCCCTGTCTGTAAAAGATGTGATCCTGCTATCTAAACAATAACTATTTATGAGAAGAGATAAAAGAAGTTTTTTTAATAGAAAAGGAAATACACATTGTCCCTCGTTGTCCCTATAGTGTTACAAAACCAAATTCTTTCGTAGAGTGTTTCTGATTTGTTTTGAATTTTTTGTTTATTTTCAGACAAAATATGGATAGATGAGAAGATAACCTGTCAGAATTTAAACAAGGCTTTTAAACAGAAAAAGACATGAGTGTTTGTAAACTGGATCTGTCCTTCAGAATTCACTTCTCAAAAGCAGGTAGATATTGAAATGAGCAGGTTAAAAAAAAATACCTGTGGTGTAGTCTTTGACTTCCATTTTTTTTTTTTTTTTTTTTTTTTTTTTTTTTCTTCTTCTTCTTCTTCCTCTAGAAGTAATAGCCAGGAAATCTGTCTCTATTACAGTACCTATCCTCGGGTAAGCCAAATTATCTGAGACAGGATACATAATGTTTAATGTTAGAAATGAACTCCATTCAGTTGGAAAATGCCTATCAGCACTGAATTTTGTTGCATACTGTAATTACAAAGTTAATTTTGCAAATCTCATAAGCTGAACACTTTGAAGATTCATTTGAATTCTTTAAATGCTGGGCCTAATAATGTTGCAACTATTTTGAACAACTTTATTAAACTCAAATAAATTAGTCTAAAGACAAAAAAAAAAAGACTGCTTTTTAATTATGACTTCTTTTCTGCCATTAAAAGGAATAAAACTAATGATAAAAATAAGAAAATCCTGAAGGAAACCCCTTCTATTTAAAATGAATGATCCATTACTCAATCTTACAAATTCCTTTCATTCTTCTCCTGTTTTATGCAATACAAAATATTTTAGAAATATATGTTGTTTTGATTTTGATTCTTAACCCTCAAAAGAGCTGAGGAATGTTAATGAAAGGTCTTTGGAAGTGAGAAAGATGATTGATTTTTGGACAGGAGAGCATGCAAAAAGGTAGGAGAAGCGGCCAGGGGAGAAGTTCTGGTATTGACCGTTTGGGTTCTCGTGTCAAGGTTTCAGAGAGGGAAGCTGCAGAAACTGAAGCTGGGTGACCAAACCCAGAGTAGGATTTGTACTTGCACGCAGGAAGCTGAAAGGCTGCTTATGCTGCTTGTTCTTCAGAAAGTTGAATATGGTATGAACATACTCTTTCATTCTAAGTTAAAAATTCATTTCTGTTGATAATGGTATTTAAATTGAGCAATCTGTTTTTCTGCTATGACTTCCATTGCAATCAGCAGAATTAAAAAATAAATAAAGTTAAAAAGATGCTGCTTTGAATGATAGGAAACAACTACTACTTGTTGCAGTTTGGTATCCATTTTCTTTGGAATTCTACTGTTGAGAGCAACATTTTTTTAATTTATTATGGCTTGCCTTGTCGCATATGAGGTAGAATTTTGGATTTGTGGAGGAGTTGAGTATCTCAAGAGTATTTATATCAGAAACAGAATTTATAAAGATACTTCAAATGCCATATAAAGGGGGTTACAAAGGAGCTTTGAAGAATTTCTTCAGCCTTCCTGATGCAAGAGCAACCCAAAAACTAGCTATTGAAGTGCATCTAAGTTGCACAGGAAGCAGAGCTGCAGATTTTATCTTCAGATGGAACTGCCTAGAACAGATCAGAGATTTTTCTAGGAAAAGATATCTTTTTGTAAGGCATTGATTTGTCCAAACTTCTTTTATACTGGTTTTCGTTAATCATCAGGAGATTTTTTTTTTTCTTTTTGGAAATGTAAGCCTAAAAAGGGGAAGTTATTGAAATAGTCACTTGCAAAAAGATTGGGCTGCAAACTCATGATGTGCAAAAGCCTTCTTTCAAACCAGGCAGATCAGGTAATTGGGCTTTAAGTAACTCAGTTACAAAAATCTGTCCACTCTTTCAGTCTGTTTCCATATGAAAATGTCTAAGGATTCCTATCAAAGGATGTGAGAGTAAGACAGAGGTTGAATAGTTGGGGGCTGCTTTAGCTTGTAGGAAAGGAAACTGTGGTAAAGAGCGAGTAAAAGATACCATTTCTCAAGCAAACATTGCGACTAGGAGTCTTTTCACACACACACACACACACGAAAAAAAAAAAGCTTAAAAATGCTCCTTAGTGCTTTTTTGTTTTTTGGTTTTTTTTTTTGAGATTTTTGAGATTTTTCTTTTTCTGGGCAATTCTGTACTTCAGAACTGAATTGTGTGTATTTAAAACAAGTTCTCTTCTTTCAGAATAACAGACCATTACAGCAGTTCAGCCTGGACCATGAGGTATGTTTTACATCTCAAAAATCTGCTGTCCCTTTCTGTCCCTGGTGGCTCCTAGAGCCTCCGGGGTTTTAGTGCTGTGTRTGCAGGAGGTAGAGACCAAAGGAGACATATATGATGGTCCCAGTGTTTGTGTAGTTATAAATCAAGGATGTCTACCCTCCTTAAATAATCGTTTCTGAAACATTAATCTCATCTGTAAACTGATATGGTACATAAAACTTAATGTCTCTGATTAAGGAGCCTGCTTTGTCCACACTTAGAGCCAAGGAATTAGGCAGCGGCCTGTCTATTCTGTGCCAAAGAGCGGTGTTTTTGGGCCGCGAGCAGAGCAGCACAACTACATAAGAGCCTCTTGAACCCAAAGTTCTGCATTGTTAGAGTACTTGAAAGTTAAACAGAAATAAACAATCTGAGAAACCATTATTTTTTTTCCTAAAATGAAGAGGATTCTGTCCTTAAAACGTTTTAGAGAAAGGCTATTACATTGTTCTGCTAACTCTATGTACTATATGCAGATAGGCTTAGGATGATTATATGCTAAAGACATGGATTTTTCTAAGACAAGTATTTAAACAGATGCTGGAAATTGTTGTTGTGTTTACCGAGTGGCTTTTTAGTGCTACCTCTAAACTCTTCTCAAAGCCTATCTTATTCCCTCTAAGTTTCATGAAAGATGCTACAATATGTGTGAGTTTTGAGGCTTGCCTTTGGTTTGCATTTAAGATTTGGTTGACTAAGATCATCCAAATCTCTTAAAAAAAGAAGAGAAGGAAAAAAAAAARRAAAAAAAAAAGTTATACTAAATCAATTTTAATTTCAGGGTACCTAAGGGTGTTTGCTTCTGATTTCAAAGGAGGTTAATTTTTAAACACTTTCAACATATCATTTCTCTCTTTAAGAATCTAGTTACAAATATTGTCAGGCCAGAACATTGCTTCCTGACAAAACCTTACTTTAATGTAAACCTAATCTTCATTCACTCAGTGAAGGGAGGCAGCATGGCATGCTGTCCCAAATGGAGACAACTGTGTGACAAACCAGGAAATAAGTGGAAATAAAATCAATTTTTCCCTATTAGTGCCAAATTAAAAGCAGAGTAAGCTGTAAAAGTTGCAATAGCAGAAGTGACAATTGAAACAAGTGTTCTGAACAAACAAACAAGACCAATAGAGAATCAATTTTAACTTTGTTAGGGCAAAGGACCTTTTTGTGTTGGTGATCTTACACTGGGCAAAAAAGCATCTGTTCAAATTCTGAAGTAGCAACCTAGGACTCTCCTTCAAAAGGAATTTAGATAGAAGCAGTAATGAAATTTAATGGGAAACTATACAAAACTTTATAAAAATTAAACTGTTAATATGACCCAATTATGTATCTGATTAAGATTTATAGTATGCATTATAATTGAAGAAGAYTGATACTGCCATTCCCATTTTGATTGAAATTATTACCCTTTTATTCTACAGTGAAAGAAGGCTAGAACTATTCCTCCTGAGTCTGTTCAATATTATAAAACTGATCCACTAGCTTTGCACTGTTCTAACAATTTGCCATCCATTACAGCTAGTACAGCAAAAAGCAGAAGACATCTTAAATATGAAACATTAAAAATCAGGGAATTTTTAGAAGTTCCAATGAAGAATGAGCAAGTTTATCTTTTTTTAAGCAATATAATTAGTTGTTGCATAATTAACATAATATGACATAACCAACATTTTTAATTAGATTCTTTATTAATAAATTCTAATTGTAAAAACACTAGGATTTAATTGACATTTAACATGTTAGCTATTGCAGGCTTGATATCAATTAACACACTTATCAAATGTCAATTACCAGTTTTTCGGTTTTAATTGCTGTGAAATTGACTTGCCATGGGCTACCTTTTTAAATGTTAATGTATTAACAGTGTTCACCAATTTGATGTAATAAATATAACATCTAATGTGCACTTATTGCTTAGAGAATTTGACTGCATTATATGAAAAGTGAAGTGTATTTCCTTCATACTTATTAAATATCAGTAAGGTGCCTTTTGCGCATTAAATTACCATACAATTAAATTTGCCAGTTGGAAATAATGATTCCACAGCATCTGGAATAGTTAGTCAAATAGGCAGGTCACTATTTTAATCCAGCATGAGCAAACATTATTAGAGCTATTTCTGAACACTGTGTTATGCAGCCCACTTGCTTTTCTCTTGTATATAGTTCCTGTATGTTCCTGGGTTACCTATATTAGGTAACTCTGAGTTAGATCCTGGTTTTCTGTAAGTCAGTCAGCAGAACCGAGCTCAGAAAGTTCAACTGCTATTGCTGATCCCGTCAAGTGGCCCTGCCGCAAGAACAAATGTGCCCCATCCTTTATTTATGGCCCTACTGATGGCACCGGGCCACGCTGCTGATGCAGAGGTTTGGCTGCCAGGAGCAGTTTCGGGCTGACAGCTTTATCATTGGCAACCAGGTCCCGCAGTCTGGTGAGATGAAATTTTCATTGTGTGCAGAATAATTGTGTTAAGTTCATACATAACATTTGATTTTTAATCTGTAGAACTGGACATGCTTTATGAAGCTAAGCGCTATCCAGCAAGGTGAAGTGATTTGCCTAAAGTCATGAAGCTGGCGGCAGCAGCAGGGAAATAAGTTCTGGTTCAAGCGACATTTTCAGAGTGGTGCAAGGATCAGGCTTTCCCAAAGGCAGAGTATGGTGGTGACGGATGGAGGGAGTGTTAATCACAGGCCCCCTGGAAAGGAGGGCTGCTTATTTAGCAGAATAGAATGAATATTTAAAAAGACCTTTCAGACTATTGTAGAATAAATGCATATATCTGTAAGTTATTATGGCTTAAGGGCTAGCTATTAAATGGAAGGATCAATGCATCAAATAGTAGATGCAGAACTTTTAGAGTTAGTTGTGTGAATCATGGTCTTGCAGTCAGTGAGACACACACATGTGCACACATGTACATTAGGGAGTCAAACCAAGTTGTTGGACTGGACTTCTCTCTCTTTTTATTTTTTTTTTTCCCTCCAGCTATGAGTGATTTGCCCTGCCCACAGAGCTATGCTTTATTACTAATGGAGGCAAACTCAAGTATATTTAAAGAAAAAAATATGAAGATTTAACCTGATGCTTCTTCAATACATAATTAATGTGTTCACCTGATCCATTAACTCAGACATGGTTTAATAAGCAGTTCACCTTGGACAAATAGTTTTTTTGTCCTTCTCAAGTCATTATTTATCTTTAGTAGCTAATCAGAGAGGGTGCGGCTTGTAGGTGCTATTTGATTGCCCTTAAACTCTTCCAACATCTTGCGTTTCAAAAGAGGAAAAACAACCTTCAGYGCTATGGAATAGCGACTATACAAGATGGTAACAGCCCAGTTCTTTCAAGTCTGGTGATTTTGCAGCTAAAGCAAACCCTTTCTGTACCATCCTGTTCAGTGATGCAGCTGGRTATATGAGCAGCCATGTACTTGCCATGAATTTATTTGGAGCTAGTTGGTATCTGTAGTTAAAAAGTCCTTAGTAACATCACCTCTCTATTTCCTGAGACTCATACCTGTTCTGCTACAAATTTTTTAAGGCAGATGGGACACGGGTGGGATGGTCCTAGTGCCCGGCCCTCGCTGTGCTCTGACAGCCACGAATTGAGAGATGCTTTTCAGGGCTCAGGAGCACTTGCCTCGGCATTTGGCCAAAGTTAGTTAGTTACTATCAATGATGACATGGACTGTGAATCCCACATTTACCAGTGTCTCCAGGAGTAACATCTCATTGAGCTGTCAGTTGTATATTCCTTTTCTTTGTGGTCTTCATGTGTATTTCCTGCTTTTTTACATTATACAGAAAGACCTACCCAGCTCAGGCTTTTGGCACTGGTTGCTGAACTTGCTGCTGYCACTGTCAGGTTGCGCTTCTGAGCTATTTGCTGAAGCAGATGCTGTCATCCTAGTTCTGTTGTAGATTGTACCTCTTTTCAGATCAAATTAGATAAGAATTCTCTTTTAAACACCATATATGAGTTGCTGGCCCTACTGGGTCCTTCTACTTACTGTAGAAGTCAAGAAGTCACTCTTTTCAAACTTTTTATAACCCAAAGCTAATCACATTCTGAAAAATGCAACACAAATATTAACCTTTTTTTTTTTTTCTCTTCCTTGTTTAGGAACAATTTGCTGCCTTTCAGAGTCTCACTCCTTCTCTTTTTATTAGGATGGTGTCTGCTGAGCTGAAGTTGCTCTGGTGAGTATCTAAGAATACTGAGTGTACTTCTCTGTGACTTCCAGGCTATCGCCCCACTAGCAGGGAAATCCTGTCACCATGTTACACTTTCAAAAACATTTTGATCTGTTGAAGCTATCGATTGTTCATCTCTCTTATAGTTCTTTCCAGCTAGTTTCCCCTCCCCGCAAGATATAAGGTATCTAGACATGTGTATGGATTCAGATACAGAAAGGGAAAGAATGAGAGTGAGACGAGAAATCGGAAATGACATGTTATAGGATCCTAAAAATCAAGAACTCTTTCTTCCAGTGATGGATAATTTCCTAAAAGGTCTCACCTGCTCTCTCACCTGTAATTTTTACATGTGCCATATCATGATTGCATGTGAGAATTACAAAAAGAGCTGTGTAGTGAATTAATGAGAGACTGATTTCCAAATTAATCTAATGTCTCTCTCCAATTTCAAAAGTCTCTGGGTGCCAATAGAGTTTCATTACATCTATTAGTTTACTATAGCAGTTTGATTGCTATTACTTTATCAAATATATTTCAGGGGAAAAAGTATACCCTGTTGGTGTCGAGTCAAAGAATAATATTAAACCATCAGCTCTACAATGCTCTTGTGTCTCTGATTATTAAGAATCATGTTTCATCTGAACTCTTTTAACACAATTTTTGGAAGTAAAAGCATTAGACTGCCACCATCAATGAGTACATTTAATTAGAATGTCTCCTTTTCCCCTTTCCTCTCCCTTAAAAAAAAGTCTGT